CAAACTTATGGTTACCAAGGGGGGGAGGGGGGTGGGGAGGGAGTAAATGGGGAGTTCGAGATTTGCAGATACTAACTACTATATATAAAGTAGATAAACAAGAAGTTTATACTGTATAGCACAGGGAACTATATTCAATATCTTGTAGCAACCGAGAATAAAAAAGAATATGAAAATGAATATGTGTATGTTTCCGTATGACTGAAGTATTATGCTGTACACCAGAAATTGACACAACATTGTAAACTGACTATACTTCAATAAAAAAATAAAATAAAATAGGGTTTATTCAACCCCAATAGTTTTAAAATTTTATCATTTTTTATTATCTATTTCTAGTCAAGAAAAGCTTTCCTGAATTCTCAATGCTTTATCATTATGTGTTTGCTCTGCAAACACATACAATTACTGGCAAAAGTACATTTACTCCTAAAAAAACAACCAAACGAGGCCATTTCAGCCGCATTCTACAGGACAGTCTACAGGTGGAGGGAGGAGTCATCTGGAGCAGCCGGGGCGGTGGCCGGGACCGTGGCCCCGCTGATGGGACAGGGTGGCCTGGGGCTTCACTCACCCATCCGAATAGCAGCAAGAAGGTCGCTCCGGGCGTCGCTGATGGGCGGCTGTGCAGCGTCCTGTCTCTTGGCCTCAGCTCCCGGGGGGCCGTGCATGGGGGAGGAGGAGAGCGAAGAGCCTGCACCCGGAGGGCCTGGCGGGGGCGGTGGGGGGCCCGGGGGCGGCGGGGCCGTGACAACGAGCCCGCCAGAGGGAGGGTGAGGAGGACCCGTGTAGGAAGAGCCCGCGGATGCCGGGAAGGGGGGCTGCATGGGGACCTGGAGGGGACTGACGAAAGCAGTCTGTGCGGAAGGGATTATGGGCGGGGGCGGCGGCGGCGGCGGTCCGGAGGGGTTGTAATACTCAATGATCTGTGCTGGGAGCATCCTGGCAAAGACACGAAACACAGAGTCACTAAAGCAGTAACAGAGGGTCACATCTCCGAGGTTCGCACAGGCCTCTAAGACACTGCAGGACGCATCCTGCACTCTGGGTCGCAGGTCAGAGTCACTCACTATGACGGGATTCAAGAGCGTCTACTGACACACACCAAAAAGATAACCCCTCAGAAAGTGACTTTCCGAACAGCCGACCACAGAGGTAAGAAGGCCTCACAAGTGCGTCCTTTACCGGCATCTCAGAAGTGGTGGCTCAAAAACCCATCTTACAAGGCTTCTGTGGCCAGTCAGATTGGAAAATTCTGTATTTTCTCTCTCAACGCCCCAAGGGAAATTCCCCAAGCCCACAATGACTATCAGAATCGCCAAAGCTTTGAAAACCCCTACAGCCGAGAAATCTGCTGTATTCTATTCAGCCAAGGGTTTTCCAAACAACTGGACCACAAACCCTCTCTCTGCCTGACATTTGGTAGGAGCCTCAGAACACACTCTGGGGATCCTGACTCAGAACCAACCAGGGGAAACGCGACTGTGTGGTCGGGGAGAAAACCCTCTGGAGACGGAGAGACGTACAGTTAGCAAGTGACACGCGCTGCTCTGGAGTGAAAACACTGTCAGTGGAAACACACTTCGGACTTAACTGGGCACTGACTTGGAGGGGGCTAGCTCTTTAAAGACTAAGGTGAAGCCAAAAAGACAGCCTGTCAAAATACAGGTGGGTGCTGAAATGAATAAACATTTGAACGCCAGGGTCTTTTTTAGGAGGCATTTGAATTTCTCCCAAATGGCAGAAAGCAAGAGGATCTGCTGGCAGAACAGCGTTTGGGCACCGAGAGGTCAGGGTTACATGTGCGGGTGTGAGACGTGCCCGTGGTGCTGTGCTGTACAGCTTTCTCCTTGAGATATGAGTTCTCTGCGGCCCGCCCAGGAGATACCGAGACCCGGAGGATTTGGGACAAGTTCCCCACACCGGCACCTCGTCCTTTGCCAACGCCTTGGCTCGGTCATTCACTCAGACACAAAGGGAACGTGTATTCGTGAACAGACACAAACCTGAGGTTCATCTGTAATTACAAAAGAGGGGGCAGCCGACGCTACATTTTTAACATAGAATTCCTCACAACGGACAACATTCGTAACCAGTCATTCTTGGCTGCATTCAGGCCCCCAAACTAT